AGAAAGAAAGAAAGAAAGAAAGAAAGAAAGAAAGAAAGAAAGAAAGAGAAAGGTGAGAAAGGATTTGGTAAAGTGCCAGATATTTTGGATAATCTGGGCACCACCACCATTAAACTTCAACAGGAAGAACAGAAATTTGCTTTTTATTAGATTCAAAAGCTTTCCACGTTGAGTTAAATATTTGCAGGACATAGGCATCCACACTCTGATTCTCGCCTAGTCATACACATTCATCCACAGTGTCCTCAAAGGTGAAGTAGACATGCGAAGATACTATCTTGGATTTTCACTTTCTTTTTCCTAAGGAGAATGACAGGTGTATCTTACTAGACTGCAGGTCCCATGGGTATTCCCATGTATATGCCTTGCATCAATATGACAATACTTTTTAAAATAACATAACCAATCAAAAAATGCTTGGAAAGCTTTCCAGCAAGGCAGACACAGAACACTGTGGTCCTGGCCTCAAGTATTCAAGTACACGTGCCCTTTCAATTCAGTTGTGTTCTCATCAGACTGCATGCTGCCTTTGTATGAATGTACTAGGTAAGAGGAGAAGGAACTTAAACACAGCCACATACTCACAGCACTTTAAACTAGTGGAGAAAAATCAGACCTATTATGGAAAGTAGAAATCACTTTAAGACTGCGGAGAATGGCAAAGTAAAAGCAAGGGGTGCGTTCATCTAGCCATCCACTGTTCCAGTGGCTAGGCCTGGAACAGCAGCTTGCCGACAGAAGACTAGAAGAGGAAGGTGTTCCGAGGACAAGCAAATGCCCTGAGAAAAAGAAACCGGTGCAAGAAAGCACACTTCCTTCCTTCCCTGCCTGGAGAGAGGCAGACAGAGTCCTCCTGCTCACTTCCTTCTCTCTTTTGGAAGCTTCAAGAATCACTCATCTCTGTTAGTTACCTGACCAGTTGGTACAACCACAAAGGTCAAGGAATTCTTTATATGGTGACCTAATTAACCATAACACTCCTAAGTTAAGCAACGTCGGACTCATAGTAACTCAAAGTCTCCAGGTCTCAATTTCTGAAGCCCAAATTCTTCCTCCCCTGAACTAGTTTTTGCTTGTTTTTGTTTTGTTTTGTCGAGACGGAGTCTCACTTGCCATACAAGCTCTGGCTATCCTGGAACTTGCTCTGCAGAGCAGGCTGGCCTCAAACTCACAGAGAGCCACCTGCCTCTGCCCCTAGTGCTGGGATTAAAGGTGTGCACCACTAGGCCCAGCTTGCCCTGCTACTCTTTAGTAAAATTTATATTTTTTCTGTTTCAGGACTAGGGACCGAGGCCAGGCAGGAGACACCACTGAACTACATCGCCAGCCCTTTAAAGTGTGAGGGACAAGGTCTTAGTAAATTACCAGGCTGCCCTGAATTATAAATGATAATCTTCCCACGTGTTTGCCGAGTAGATGGGAGCACAGACCACATGACACCTGGCCAGGATGTGCTTCACTGAAGCATAAGCAGCCACAGCTGAGTAAAGACCACCTTCGAATGAGAAGCCTTGGGGATACCCTGCACACCTTGCATTCATTTGGAAACAGATGCTATTTGTTTCCATAATCTTCTAAATAGCAGGCCTTCATACACAAATTAAAAAGAAGCACTATACAAATTAAAGTTTGCATTATCATAAAGTGCAAAGAACTCTAGTACTTATCCAATCCAAGTATACAGGGTGGGAGAGCAAAATGACAACTGCTTTATTATTAAAAGTTACTCAAGATCCATAAAGCACACAAAGTAGCCTATATTCAACTAAGAAAATGCTGGTACATGTACTGAAAAATATATAGCACAGATTTTTCTGTCTTAACATTTACATTCTATTTAAAAAGTAGTTACTTTACATATTTTTGCAATTTGTATGTATAAAATATATATATATACCCACCCTATTCAAATCCTCAAGCATGAGCTTCCATTCCTAATCAAAAGCACAATCACTATTGTGATTACCAAAAGAATTATGGCAGCAGCAAAATGAACAAATTCAATTTGACCTGAACATGTACTTAATTCTTGACTACTAAGTAATTCAATAATGCACTCAAATAATTCTGTATTCTGTGCCTGACAATTTGCATTTATTTGAAAGTTATGATGAAGAGACTTGAACCTCTGTGGCAACTGACAAAAATCTCAGAATGCGTTAATAGTACTGTCTCAGGCTTTGAGACAGTGACAAGTTACATCTCACAAACGTACAGAGTTTTCAGTATGCTTTGTCTTTGAGAAAACAACTTACATGATTGCATCTAGTTCTGAAAAATCCAGGCTCGGTAGGTGCCAAGAGAACTGACTCTCCTTTCTCACCAAGTACAACGCAGATCCAAGGGCTGGAGAAGCGTGTCTACTCGGAGATTCCTTGCACACAGACAAAGCAGCTCAATTCAACTTTATCAACAGAAGATTTTCAAGACAATCATATAATCACTCATCACCAAACAGAAGTTATCAATAACGAATCTGAGAACTGAAATTACAACTAATACCTCACTTCCCAGAGCAACACAACTGCACAGAGAGCAAAGCCTGAAACGTTCAGATTCAATGAGCCTCCAAAGATAATGATGCCTAAAACCCCATCTGAGTTAATGAGCAATTTATGTTGAGAAAAAAGTCAAATAATTTCAGTAAAATAAAACATTTAAGTATAAAAACAACTTAATTCACTTAAGAAATAGTAGACTCTGGAAGAGTCACTATCTAAAAGAAAACAAGTACAAATTTCTGTGTCACTACTGAAAATTTCAACCACAGTTCATAGTCAATTACTCAATATATTTAGCTACCTGCTGATGAGGTACAAAAAAAAAAAAAAAAAAAAAAAACAAAACAAAACAAAAAAACCCATGTATCTTATTTATAGAAAGTAATTTTTAATTTCTTAATATTTTCAGATATAATTTTAACAATCACTCTCCCCTAGATCCCTTAACCTTAAACAAAAACCAAATTTCTAAGTTAGAAAAGGAAACTGGGGAAGACACTGAGCATCTATGAGGAGATAAGGAAGTGACCGAAGGGGGGGGGGGGCTAAAACCTAAGAAGGACAATTACAGAGGGTGGGAGCAGCTGCTGCAGCTGCCACCACAGATGGCGACCATGCCGAGGCATTAGGGGTCTTGCTTGGAGCAGCGCACAACTGGACTTCAGCTGGTTGGCCTGCTCTGTGGTGCAAATGGAGCTTGGGGCCTCCCAGCACAGCTGCCACTGACTGACACTCCCAAGCCCTTCAGTGGGCTGATAGTGAATCCTCAGAAAGAAGATTTCCAGCGAGAACCAATTTACATGTATATACAATTAAACATAATTATATATGATAAGCTTTCAACTAAGATATATTAAAAAACTAATAAAAATGAGAGACAAATATAAGCAGCAGTAACCATGAAAGCTGAGACCTAGCCACACTAATTTTTTTTTATTAAAAAAAGAAAAAAAAAAAAAACTTTGAATACACAGTACCTCCTCTTCTACTCTACTTGTAGGAAGTTTAACAAGTTTTAAATTTCGCAATTCTCAAAAACTGTAGGCTGTAAAAATAAAATAAAAAAGACTACATTTCCAGAAATAACACATTTACACACCATTTTCATATCACTAATCATTTCCATTACTGTCAATTTATCTTTGATGGAACAACCAGTTACTTGATATCTGTTTTAGAATCTCTAGAAGTTATTATCCACGGTAGGTAAGTAATGGTGTGTGTGTGTACTTGCATATATTTAAAATTCAGAAGTAGAAAATAGTAAATCAACTGTTTATAGACCCACTCAAAGTAACAAGGAATACAGTCTTCCTCCAGTTGAACTGTCTCCTATAGGGCTTAAAAAATGTTTATTTCCCCACTGGCTAAAAGGAAAATCACACATTATAAGTTCTTTAGAAGTAAATATTAACTTCTTAAGAGAAGAGCCACAAAACTGGAAATAACCTACAGCATTTTGTCTGTATTCGGAAGGGCACCAAGTTCATAACTGCAGAAACAACAAACAGCAAACATCACATCTTAACAAAATTTGGCAAACTAGGAATGGTCTAAAATAAATGTGGAAGAGACAGACACAGCCTCAAAGTGTGAAAATACAATGTTGTAGGTTAGTACCTATTGGAGGAAATGCAGGGAAGATGGAATGAACAGTGAATTTCATATAAGTTTCTTGCAATTCCAGTTCCCTTTCAATAATATGTTATAGAAAATATTTGTTTTATTAAAAGCCACAACTTGCCCTCACCTGAACAATGACCCAGATACACATCTTTTGAATGTTAATGTCAAATAACTAAATGCAAGTGTTAAAGAATTTTTAATGACTCTTAAAGTCAAGGGAGTAATGTTAATCTGATTCTGAATTCTTAATAGTTGATGCTCCTTATTTTAGATATATTATTTTCTTCACCTGGATCCAAAAATGAACTAAAATTGTTTGGTTTTCAACTATTTTCCATTTCATTTGTATCTATTTTATAGTAGCCGTATACAGAGAGGTATATTAAAACACTGTTACAAAAACACAACTGAAGCTATTAATCTACACTACAGCACTGTAAATGTTTGACCTGGTGTGTTAATTCCTTTGGTGAATACTGCCTCAGGCCATTTCTTATGACAGGATTTTAGTAAGAGGACTACAAACAGGTAAGAGGTTCTCCCTGTGTTCCCATCCCCCCAATCAAGTTCATTAGTATTTCAGAGCAGTGACATAAAGCTAATTTAGAGCTGTAATTTCATATTAAAAGCAGTGAAAAGCTAAGAATTTAAAGATTTTTTTTTCATGTTAGATAGGCCAACTAGTAAAACAGGTAATGAACACTGCGAGGACATGAACAGAGTTGAGACAGAAGAAAGGGGTTTCTAGTCTTTAAGAAATGGTGATTGCTGCCTAGCAGTAGAAACAGTGTCCACAATTTGGTGGCTGGCCATGGTTTTAATTTTTTTTTTCAAGTTATTTCTACAGCAGACAGAGTTTTGAAGTCTACCCGCCCCTGAGTTCAGCAGTTATAGTTTCAGAGTGTAAAATTATATGCCCTTAATCAACAACATGTACAAAGCTACAAAATGCCATCTACACAGAGATGAAAAACAATCTTTAAAATATTCTTTACCAATTATCAATTGGATGATTTTCATGGGGTTACATATGTCAGACCTTTCAGCCAATTGGCTTTTATTTTTAAGCCCAAATTGATTAATATATTCACTGCAGGATATTCAAAAAGAGGGCAACAGTAAGGCATTAGTAAAAATAACATTGTCATAGAAACAGATCTTGCATATGTGAAAAGGTCATTTATAAAATACATTAATCGCTTCTTAAAAAGACCTAGTTATAGCATCATTAACTTACATGGTACATGGTACTTAGAATGAAACCTTTTCAACAACTGTTTTATAGATCAGAGAAATCAGATAGATAGATAGATAAGATAGATAGATAGATAGATAGATAGATAGATAGAGACAGACACAGATAGATAGAAAAATTCATCTAACTGTAAGCAAAATCTTTTCAACAAGCATAACAAATTCTTCCAAGAAAACCTATACAATGGTTATGTGAGACAAATAAGCAAACATATCATTTTATAGTGTTCATTTGCCAAATTCTTAAAATAAAAATGTCCACACTCTTTTGTTAAAACATTAAGCCTCTGTCAAAAATGTATTTCTCATTTTAGGGTACAGTATTGAAGGACAAGATGATACAAGAAAATTTACAAGAAAAGAAACTTGACAAAAGCCTTTCAATTAAAGTATTGTAACATTCAAACAACTTAAAACGTAACAAAAGAAACAAGATTACAAACAAAATGTTTATGGATTTTCCAAACATAAATAAACAAAATAGTGTTTAGGCAATAGGGCTCATGCTGATGGCTAGCAGGAAGTAACAGAGTATAATAGACTTGGAAAAAAAAAAAAAAAAACAGGCCCAAATAATGGATGGCAGTAATTTAGTCATCACTGCCATTTTTTTTACTTCCAAAATAAAGCCTTGGTTAAACCATTCACACCCTATATTATTCACACCTTTACTTCAGAGATTGAGGACTATATACAACAAATGAATTTATTTTCACCATAGGGATAACATATTGTACCTCTCTGCCAATGTTCCTCGAAAACCTTCCATGTCAAAACAATTTGACAGCAGATATAAACAATTAAATAAATATGCAATGATCTTTCTTACGGTCCTTGAAAGACGCATGTTATTTCATGCTGTTAGCCTCAGGATCACAGTGCATAGAATCCAAATATAAACAATTGGGGTGACTTTCAATGTAATACTGGATCCCTCACTTTCCTTATAATCCCACAATAACCGATAAATTCATTTCACAGGCCCTATCATGCATTAATCACTGAGTGGCAGGAGTTAAGAAAACTCTTCCTGTTGCAACGTCCATTGCCGGCAATGAACACCCCCAAACCACCGAGGAAGTCACTGTTATTGCACAATACATGAGGACCTGGAACTTTTCCAAAAGCTTAAAAAAATAAAAATAAAAAATGGAATTATATTTGACATTTCCTGACACCTGCATTAATACTGTATGACTAATAAAAGCATGTCAGTTGCCTGGACTGAACCAGCGATCAACATGCGCCCAGAATGCACACGAGTAAAAATGCAGTAAAAGGAAGTAGTCTTCATTGCCTATAGGTCACTTCCAGTCAAAGGTTAAAGTTCAAAGACTGAATGATCAAAGTGCTCATTTTCTCAGTAGGACTATCTTCTGCTACGAGGATGACAACAGTGGCATCAACAAGTATCATCTTTAAGAAAAGGAGAAAAAGAAAGTTAGAAAGTTATACATGTGTAAGTAATCTACAAGTTAATCTCATAGAGAAATAATATCAAGAGGCAAGAACATGGCTGACTGAATTATATAATAAGCAAACCGACCTTTACTCTTTCAAGAAAATGATGGTTTGTTAAAAAAAAAACAAAACAAAACAAAAAAAAACCCTTTAAAATAATACGATTAGTATATTAGTTCAATTTAGAAAAGGAAATTGATATACTAAGGTAGCACATACTCAGGACACATCTTACGAGTTTTCCTATGAGCAATACTTAAAACAGTATTGACATTTTACACTAAGTAATATAGCACGTCTTTAGTCTACGAGGCAACTCCCTTCAACAATAACATACAACTTTCAATTCAATCAATAGACATTTAATGCCATTAATGTCCCTTCAGAAGACCAATTTTCAGAAAGTGTATATATATATATATATATATATATATATATATATGCAAAGTCATTTAAAACCCCAAAGAATTATTCTGTAATACCTTCTGGTTGCCCCAACATATTATTTTTAGGTAGTACATAACTGTAGGGTCTATGACTTATTTTACAAACTGATTTCACAAAAATGTATCTGAGGAATTTGAGAATTTGTTATTTTTCAGAAAGAAGCTTTGGACTAGCAGCAACTCCAAAGAGTTATGAAAGCTTGTAGAGGAAATCCCTGTCAAATGTTTTACGAATAATTCCATGTCAAAGCTGATGCAGTGCTAATAAAATTTTCCACTAGTAAAGACTACATGAAGTCTGTTATGGTAGGGGAATTCATGGGTATAATGTACATGGTGAAATAAATGAGATTTTAAAAATAAATCATAGATTGGTGATAAAGCTCAGCAGCAATACTGGGCATAGTTTAATCATTAAAACAAAGAAAAAAGAAAAGAAGAAGTAAAGGAAAAGGAAAGGAAGAAAAGAAAAGAAAGGAAAGGAAGGGAAAAGAAAAGGAAAAAGCATGTCTACAGCCATAAGCTCAATCCCCAGCATCAACAAACAGACAAAAAAGGCTGGCATATTTTGAGTAGGTAGCCAACTTGGGCTACAAGGCAAGATCCTCTATTAAAACAAAGCCTGGCAGTAGTGGCACACGCCTTTAATCCCAATGCTGGGGAGGCAGAGGCAGGTGGATCTCTGAGTCTGAGGCCAGCCTGGTCTACAAAGTGTTCTCAGCATGGTAGGCTTCTGGAAAATGTGCTACTAAAATGATCAGAAATCCCCTAAAGCTATTCTCTTATCCCAAACTCCATCTTGGATCACATATTAAAATAAACTTAGGTCTGATATGGTTTTACCTGCCTTGAACATCTTAGTTTTGAGGAAATGTGTTAAGTTCTAAAGTTTAAATTCCACAATCTCTAATAACAGGACTTCCAGGGACTTGAAAATGGGTATGGAATAAAGCCCATTGGGGTCAAGACAAATATACGACTATAAAAGATTGTGAAAGACCATAATAGTCTTTAGTTTCTTGGCTAAAATACCTGTGACAATATGATACCTTGAAAACAAAACAAAACAAAACTATTTTATAATAATGATTTCAATCTTCTCCAGAACTACCAAAAGCCTCTACTAAAGCCACATTCTCCAATATAACACACAGACTGCTGACTCCAGCTACCTCCATCACAGCTAACTTCAGTGAGCTTATGGAAATGACCTAGAGAAAGGTCATTGCATCCCGCTACAATTATAAAAGGCACATTGCACTGAAAACTCATTTCCCCAAATATCACCAAACACAAGTCTAGAAGAAAAACATAGTAAAGCAGTTCTGTGACATGCAGTGGAAGGCTAAAAGCAAAATGGACAAAATATTCACAGTTAAACTTTATCTCCTAAGAGCTTAGGAAATTCATTTTCCTTTGACAAATGGATTCAAGAAAGGCTTTAGAGCACACAGGCAATAGAACCGTCACCCATTAGGAGGGAGTGGGTACTGCTAAACCACTCAAGTTTATTTCAGGAATTTACTGATTCTGTAGCCTTGAACCAAAAGGGTTCACAATTAGTGTAAATTTGTGAATCTATGGACAGAGGCTATACAGCAGGAATAAAAAGAGGTGTTTTTGTTTTCATTCTTGAGACATGGCTCAGTTAGCCCATACTGGCTTTGAACTGGAAATGCAGATAAGGAGTTGATGCACCCCACCTCCTGAAGCTGGGTGACATGTGTGCCCCTACTCCTACTTCTATGAGGCTGGGCACGAACTCGGGGCTTCTCACATGTTATGCGAACATTCTATCATCCGAGCCCCTAAGAGTTCCACATCACTAATCTGAGACAATTTTATGCTCCTGTCTTCCTAAATTCTGTATAATGCTCCAGGAATGCTCCAGGTAGAGCCCTAAAGAAAAGATTCCTCAATGTCTTCCCATACTAAACTCAACCTTTGCAACATATGCTATCTAAACATTATGTTAATGCACTCATTGCCTACAAACCTATGTTTATGATGTGAACACTCAAGTGTGAGACTTACCTAATGTTTAACTGACCACATCACCTTATGAGTGCTTTAACAATCAAGGGTCTGGACTCCCCTCTGGAAAATTACTGCATGAATATTTTTTAATACTGATTCCAGGAAACAAGCTCTTATTATCAATGGATTCTGGTTGTGCACTTCAGTGTAATACTTTTCGAGTTAACAAAATGATACTTTGTACCTTGGCTATGAACAATTTTTGTCTGACAAAAAACAAAACAAAACTCTGGAGTCTAAAGTGCAGCCCTGACCTCCCAGCAGCTCTGGCTGTCTGCACAAGACTTGCACAAAACCAAGCCAGCCAACGTTCTGCTCAGAAGCTCTCAGCCCTCACGGAGACGCTATCGACAAGTGACAGCTTTAAGGAGAGAGAGAGTCAGTGCTCCTCAACAGCGTGGCCCTGGTAGATCTCCCACACTCCAGCCGCTGGCCTCACGCTGAGGAGATGAGAATCCCAAACTGGACTCAGCAGGGTATGTAAAAAGGAGAAAGAAAGTGGGCATGAGGTTGGAAGGAGGGTGGGGGTACATGGAAAGGTGGGGGTGGATCTGGGAGGAGGTGATGTGCGTGTGACCACAATGTACTGTATGAAATTCTCAAAATTATTGTTAAAAAAAGTAACAAACAAAAACCCCCTGAGTTCTAAATCATTCATTCATTCAGCTGGGCACACAGACACAAATCTAGACAGGAAGAGTCCATGTCTGCATCATGGCAAATTCTCAAACTCATTTGTATACTCAAGTGAATCATCTATTTCACAACCTATTTTGATTAAGCTTTCAGTTTCTGGCCCTAATTGTCTCTGCTTAATTTATTTTTCAGAGCAAATGAACCCCTGTGTTAAGTGGCAACATGATATGCTTGCATCCAATCACACATAACCTAATTAGAAACTAAAGAGTCTTGGAAAGTGGTCCTAATTTCAAGTAATAGTAAAGAATGTATATTCACATGCCAATACAATCTTTATATTCCAAAACTCTGCATAATATAATTACTTTTTAATAAAATGTCCACTCATTTTAATATATCCTAGTAAAATGAAATACATTTTTAAAGATTTATTTATTTTATGTATATGAGTGCTCTATCTGCATGCACACCTGCTTGACATAAAAGCTCTCCTTATAGATGGTTGTGAGCCACCATGTGGATGCTGGGAATTGAACTCAAAACCTCTGGAAGAGCAGACAGTGTGTCTTAAACTCTGAGCCATCTCTCTAGACTCCTACCTTTTGTTTCAATAAACCACTGTGCACTAAAAGCCATCAAAAGCAATCAATATGAGGTATGGAGTTTTCAAATGCAGTAGCAGGAAGCTGACAGGACTGACTTAATCTGTAGGAGATTCTAAATAATGATGTAGACAAGTGAAATTTAAGCTAGGAGTATTTCTGTGAAGATCCGACTGTTGTCTGGTAGCTCCATTTCCTGCTCAGGGTTTTAAATGATTTCAGACTTGTGATTTTCCACTATTAGTGCCTGCACCCTGCCCACAGGAAGCCCCTTTTACAGCACACACATTATCTCAACTAGACCTCTCTGCTTACATCACATCTATACTATACAATGCTGAGCCGTGCATGCTGCTAGAGCCACACAGGGTGGCTGGAGAGCTGGATGCCTAAAACTTAGTCTCCTAAAACTGAAATGTTAAATTCTATGTATGGGTGAGCATGTTCGCGTGGGCACATCTGTCTGTTGAGCCTCGGCCTCACACATATTAAGCATACATGTGGACACTGAGACACATCCCACTCTTGGACTTGAATCTTTTGGAACAACTTCAGAGGTCACATAGGAAAAATGATCTGTCCTTATAATCCTCAGAGAATTAGATAACGCTAATGTCCTGACTGGTTTATTTTTTGTGTGTCAACTTGAAACAAGTGAGAGTCGTTTGAGAAGAGGGAACTTCAACTGACAGAGTGCCTTCATAAGACTGGCCTGGGAGACTGCTTTGATCAATGACTGATAAGGGAGGGCCCAGCCTACTATGAACTGTATCACCAATAATCAGGTCATCCTGGATATGTAAAAGGAAGCAGGCTAAGTGAGCCACAGAGGAGCAAACCAGGAAACAGTGTTCCTCTGTGGCTTCTGCTTCTGTTCCTACCTTGAGTCCCTAGCCTGACTTCCTTCAGTGACGGACTGTGCCCTGTGTGTAAAGCTCTAATAAGCCCTTTCCTCCCCAGGCTGTTTTTGGTCATGGTGTTTTTTCACAGCAACCCCTAAGACAGCTAAGAAATAACAAGAGTCTGTAGGGTTTGATAATATGACCATCTAGTTGCAGCTAAGTTGAAGAGGTAGCCTGGTAAACACAGGGGTTCTCCATCTCAGAGATAACGCAAAAATAAAAAGCACAAGAATGAATACATATTCATGATCTGGATGTGGTGGCACACACCTGCACTCCTAGCACTCAGAAGGCAAGAGGACGACCACAAGTTCAAGGCCACCCAGGAGAGCCAGGGCTACATAGTTAGGAGAAAAGGGATGGAAGGGAAAGAGGGGGAAAAGGACAGAACACTGATGCACATTTCTTGAAAAATTAGTGTTAAAGGAAGAACATGAATAATGAAGATATGAAATTGAACCTACTACGTAGGAAAAAGATAAAATGAAAAGTTCCAACAAAGCTAACTAATGGGTTACGTTTTCTGAGAATGGATATTACTGCTCCATGCAAATTCAACTATAATGCTCAATTATAATGATAATGTTATTTATACTGCCTGTAACTACCTGGGCATTTAGATGTTCATGAAGGAAAAGACAATACCATAACCCAATTGTTAAAAGGTTTAAGCTTCTTATACAGAGTAGAAAAATTCAAACACGATGCTCTGCAGCTTCCTAGTTGGAAGATACATCATCTGTTCTACTATCTCAACTAACAGCAAACACTGTCCCTTTCTTGAATACATATAAAACTTACATCTGCAGTACATTTGTCTCAAAGGGGGATGGTACAAGATTATCCAGGCATTCAGGGTTCATGTAGGGAAAGAAAGGATATTTAAAAATACAAAGAGAGCCGCTGTTAGCCAACAAATCAAGGCGACGTTGAACAGAATCATATGTGAGTGAGAACGATGGCTCAGGGGGTAAAATGTTTGCAGTACAAACCTGACCTCCACATACAAGCGCACAATAATAGTGAGGTGCTGCTGCACACCTGAACTCAGAGTAAGTGTGACTGCGTGTATATGATCTGTACCTGACAGTCAAAATGACGCCATGGATGTCAACGGGGCCTGACAAAGTCTCATCCCTACCTGGTGAGGAGGCATCAGCTTTCTTAAGAGATGTGGACCCTGGAAAGCTACCCTTGCTCTAGCACGGCAGTTCTAAACCCTCTGGGGTTCAATGACCCTTTCACAGGGGCTGCCTAGACCATCAGAAAACACAGATCTTTACATTAGGATTCATAACAGCAGTAAAATTACAGCTGTTGAAGTAGCGACAACTCTTGAAGATCACCAAAACATGAGGAGCTGTATTAAAGGGTCACAGCATGAGGAAGGGTGAGAGCCACTGTCCTAGTAGGAGCCCTACAGGCCGGACTTCCTACAGCACCGTGGGGACACTGTGGATTTAAAAGAACAAAGAGGTGGAGGGAGAACACACGAAGCTGGGAGAGACGTGTCAGTGGGGAAAAGGGGAAGAGTCGGAGGAAAGAGGATGGAATACATTTGAACGAAACACATAATGTGCATGCACTGTCTGCTCTTTCAAAGGTCCTCAGTTCAATTCCCAGTAACCACATGATGGCTCATAACCATGTATGAGATCTGGTGCCCTTTGCAGAGTGTAAGCAACCATGCAAGCAGAACACTATACATAATAGAGAAATAAATGAATGAATCTTAAAAAAAAAAAAAAGACACCACACAAGGAAAAAAATGGTAATAACATGACGTGTCACAAGCAGTATGGAAAACTTTGTTCTTCTCTTTCCTATCTATCTTCTGGCACTATAGTCATCCTGTAACTTGCTAATTCACAATTAAGTTTCAGAAATCTTAAATTTGTAATTAGTGTGCTATATCCGTTTTTCACCTGTGCAATAAATCACTCACTTATTCTTTTGAGGTGGGGTTCAGGCTCAGACTCAAACTCAGGACTTCACATCTGCCCCCATATTCCCACACTTTCCACCATGATGATAATGGACTAAACTTCTAACACTGTGAGCCAGCTCCAATTAAATGCTTTCATTCACAGCAGTTGCCATGGTCATGGGGTTTCTTCACAGCACTAGAACTCTGACCAAGACAAGCTGTTGGGTCCAAATTGCCTCCAAATTACAAAAAGTACTAGAACTGAGTGCACAGGGCATCAGAACTTCTACTTCATATAAAGAGTTCCCCACAGCTAGCTGTATTTTATGATAAAGATTATTATGGACTTCAGTTGGTCACGGCTGTACACACCTATAATCTCAGCACTTGGAAGGCAGGGGCAAGGGGAAAAGCTGTAAGTTCAGGGCCCGCCTGGTCTACATAGCTAGTTTCAGGAAAGGCTTATATAAATAAGCAAAATTGTCTCAACCCTCAAGTGCAGCAAAACAAAATCTGGAAGATATCAAAATGATACTGTTGAAGTTATTGAAGTAATGCTAATTTTGCTTCTTCTATGATAGACATGATTTTGTTCTAAAAATTTAGTCTAAGCTGGGTAGTGGTACATGACTTTAGCCCCAGCACTTGGGAGGCAGAAGCAGGAGTTCGAGGCCAGCCTGGTCTATAGAGCGAGTTCCAGGACAGCCATGGCTACACAGAGAAACCCTGTCTAGAAAAACAAAAACAAAAATAAAAAAGTCTAATATCAACATTTTCCAAGATTTTCTAAAATGTAGTATTACAATATCTCAATTACATACCCCCACTATTTTCCCAAGTCTTACAAACATCTTCTAAATAAAAATACCCAAAATTTGTCATTATAACTTAAAACTGCTCACCATGATACCACCATTTTGTTTTCTTTGGATTCTTGTTACATGTTCGCACATAAAAGGAATTATCTGGTGGTCGTCTCTGAAACAAAGACAGAATTTAAATAGGTAAATTCTGAAAGAAAATCACTAGGACAGCAGTAAGTTTAGCAAAATTATTATAGAACGTATGAAAACAACAGAAACAGTAAAAGCGTAACTAGAGAATGTGTACATCAGTTGTTTTAAAAGGGAGTATGGGGGGATCAGTTCATGTATGACATCCAGATTCTTCATACTTACCTCTCCCATCAAGTCATCTAACGACTACTTACCTGATCTAACTAGACAGAAGGCCTATCTAAGGTTGTCTGAAGAACTACAGCAACTTTCAAATACCCACATCATCTTATCATTTTATTATAATGTATTAAGGACAGATCAAATGGATTCTGAATTAAACAGTATCTAAGAGGATACATGTTTTAGTGCTTGTGTGGAACAGTGGCCTAGCTGTTCTTCATCTGCCCTCACAGGAACAACACGGGAAACCTGGCAGCTCTGCAGGACAGCTAGGCAAGAGTGATGCGAACCACACTGGATGAAGGCTGGGAGAAACTCTGCCTGAAAACTTCTGGGTATGAGCCAGACATGAGTATGTGACTTGCTGTCAAGAGTTCAAATGTCAAATTTGTTCTAATGTTATCCTGAGGGACAACTTCCAACAGCATGACAGAGAGCCTCACCCGTGCTTCTGGCCAACTTTTATAACAACTCTGATAAAACGATGCCTTTCTCCCTATTCAGTATCTTTTGTAGTATTTAGACTTAATTGGCTATTTAGAGTAATGAAGATGAGAGATTAAAAGAACTCTCTCTTCTACTGAGGCTGATCAAGAGGTGCATCATTTAAGAAGGTGCCAGCCAGAAAGCAGTAGGAAGTGTGTGGATAACACAGACGGGCAGGAAGAAAGCAGCCCATCCACGCGACGTGATGCTTCTAATGCTCATGTACTTAGCTGTCAGCTGACCTTTACGATGCCCTTAGGAATGCATGGCAATGGTAATTTCAATCAACAACCACAAAAAGACTACTTGGGTACAATCTGTTAAGTACTCCAAGATTACCCTGACACAATTTGAGAAAAAAATTTTAATAATTAAAAGTACCTTACTTCTTTTTCTTGTTACCTAGCACTTAGTAGGGTAAAAACAGCAAGCATCTAATAAATGTTAAACTCACAGAAATTCTAACTCTTAAATTATCATCATGGCTAAACCTATCATACAACAAGTCTACTAAAAATAGTTTATCAATAATTTAAGTGAAATGATTAGTTTTATACTATGTATATTACAGAACACACTAGCAGCAAACCAAGCAGTGAGTAGAATGATGAGGGTTGAAGGATGAGAGGCACACTGGGCAAGAGTCACTCTCCAGCATTTGGTGTAATGTGTTCCACATAAATGCAAACAAGCCAGTGACCATCAGGCCATGCAGAGCAATTGACAATCCCCAACGACCATCTCAATCTCAGTGCACATCAAACCCTGTAGTCATCACCTCACTGTGAAGAATCAAAAGGACACGGGAGCCCTTGTAAGAAAAAACTGCTCTGTCCCACAGAAGAAAAGCTGTGTGTATGTGTGTGTGTGGTGTGTGTGTGTATTGAAGCAATAAACAACAAAGGTCATAGCAACTCCTATGGTTAAACAAAGCTTGATTACAGCCTCAAAATATAGAAAAACTTAAGTTAATGTGCTATTAAGGGGCTGGAGAGATGGCTCAGCAGTTAAAAGCACTGGCTGTTCCTTCCAAAGACACTGTCCGATTCACAGCACCCACATGATGCCCCACAAGCATCTGTAACTCCAGTTCTGGGGAATACAAGGCCCTCTTCTGGCCTCCACAGGCACCAGCCAAGCTCATGGTTGATAGACATGTATAGAGGTAAAACATCTCCACACATATATTATATATATAATAAAATAATTTTAAGTGTTATTAAGATGCACATATCACATTTCACCTAAAAGTATCATTACACATTTTAGTATTTCTGAACGGGGATATGTCTTTTATTTAAAAACTTGTCAAAATTTAATGGTAGGGTGTTTTCTTATAAATACATAAAAACTGGATAAATGGCTTTTACAAGTGAAAAAAATAAAAACAAAATTTAGCCTATTAGTCTTTGTACCTATTTGAATAGAACAAAAACAAAATCTTGTTTTTGAGAAAGAACACCAGAAAAACGTTAAAATATGTTATTATGTGTGAGGGCATGTTTGTTTGTAAGCACATGTGTGTACCACACTGCAGATGGTGATCACAGAAAAACTTTCAGGCTCTGTTTTTGCTCAAATGTAGGCTCCAGGGATCAACTGTCAGGCTTACACAGTGAGCAGGCTCAGCTGTTCACCCATCTCGATGCACCCACCCTCCAAAAAAAAAAAAAAAAAAATGCCCTCTTTTGACTTATCATTTCAAGAAACTTACTTAGTGAAACAGGAACTCTGGGTGTTCCAGATTCTAAACAACCTATTGCTTAAAAATGAACTATATTATCTTAAAGATTCTCTAAATTCTAATTAATAAAACAGCAGTGGATCTGCTAATGACACGTGTACACGCCAAGGGCTCCTTATTTTAAAGGTATCTAAATTTTAGCTCATACCATTTTTCATCTGGTCTTTTCCCCCACTTTCATTAGAGACGGTTCTGTGGGTGAATAAAGGAGAACAAGAGGGAAGGTTCCAAAAACTCTACTGGTAATTTGTGCCTCCTTCAATCTAACCACTGAGATGGGAAAGCTCTGGATTCTGGGAAATTCTGAAAAATGCTGCCTTGGGTAGGAAACTGGCCAAGAGGGCTAAGGAACGAGGGGCTGTTCCTTTCTAACTTTCCCACTGTGAAATCTACAAACGGGAATGTGCTATACACATGTGCTCTGTGCTGGATCATGCAAACAATAGTCAGAATAAGAACACGCGCATGAACGTCCTGTTCACACTGACTAAACAACAGCTATAGACTTATGACTCACTGCCTACACAGTGCACTACACTTCAGGAATAGATATAAAACACTGAATTTGACTTCTGGTCTATTTTGAATGAAACATAACAAAATAACGTATCCGTCTATTACTAAAAATGTCATTCAGTGTAATTTAAAAACAAAAAGCATGACTCTTTCTCCCGATACAAATAATTATATTTTGAAACTGTTAACCTACCTATGCTGAAAGAGGAGACATTACCTGGAGTAATCACGAAAGTCCTACCTTTTCTTTGCAGCTGGAAAGCATGCTAATAATGCTAAGACAGACTGACTGGACTGAGAGCGCTGGGGACCAGTCTTCTGTTAGAATGGATAAACAGATATGACCATTGCTATACACATGAGGATGAACGGGAATATTTTCACCAGTAAACATGACCTAAGAAAAGATAAAATTCCATTAACGCTGAATATTCTCTAGTATTAACAACTAAAATATTCTCCAAATTTATTAAGTATTAATTTTTAAAACATAAAATACAAGCAAGCAGATTTCGGAAAGGAGCAAATGCTCACTCATCACCAACAATTTAATAACAGCCAATACCAACAATTTAAATACCAACAATTAAATAAATACCAACAATTAATTAAATTAAATTAATTAAATTAAATACCAACAATTAAATAACAGCCTCCCTGTACAAATAGCCATGGAGTCGAAGGGAGCTCTTGTCTCTCCTTATATAGTCCACCGAAATTTTCCAAACTTATTTACTAGTAAATAGCAAACTACACTCATACGATGTTTTTGTTTTTGAAATTCTACTCATCACTCACTGAATACTCATTACTCATGCCTTTAACACAAGCACTTGGGGGGCAGAGGCAGGTAGAGCTCAGTGAATGTGAGGCCAGTCTGGACTTCTACATAGTAAGTTCCAGGCTAGCTCGCTTGGGCTACATGCTGAGAGCGTATTTTAAAAACCAAAATACAACAAAACAAGGCAAAATTCCAACTGCACTAAGATTCCAAAAGTATTTAATTTTAATACAATAACAAAAATCAAACAAAACCAAAAATCTTTTTAGGTTAAAAAAAAGAAAGAAAGAAAGAAAGAAAGCTGAGTCTCCATTGGCTGCTGTCTCTCTCCTTTGCCTTTTACTCACTCATGTTCCTTTACCTTACCTTGGCATGACTGTAAATGGTCTTCCTCTGCCCTAACACTTCAAGTAAACCCTCTAAGCATCCAGATAAGAAAGAGAATAAATCCACATCTTGAAATAGCATTGCACACATTCTGAGACAATTCAAAGGCAGCAGATGAGCTTCAGAACAATTACACATGTGTTCCTCTCTATTTTGTAACACCGGGTCCTTGTACATGCTACACAAGGCTGTTCTCCGAGACACTTGATGTTACATAAATTCCAATTAAGTTAACTCCCCAGTCTTCAATACATTTTGTAAGGTAGTCATACCATATTAATTCTGTAGTTTAGCAGTCATTCCTAACTAGCGATCTCGCCAAACAAAGAAAATCACCAGTATCACTTGAATGAAATGACTTATTCAAGGTATGAGGTAGACTATTTACAGGAGACACACATTCCATGTAAGAAGCTACAAAGGCTGCAAATAAGGATCAGTAAAGGCTCATTATGTATGCCAGGCATGGTGGCAAAGGCCTGTAATCCCAGCACTTGGGGAGGCAGAGGCAGGTGGATGTCTGTGACTTCCAAGTCAGACTAGTCTGCAAAGCAAGTTCAGAACAGCCAAGGCTACATAAAAGCCCTGTCTCAAAAAAAAAAAAAGAAATAAAGAAAGACAAACTATGTAGACATTAGCTAAAAGAAATACTATGCAACTATATTAAAAACACACAAAAGTGATGTCCATCAGTTAAAATTTCACAACCATAGCCAGGCGAGGTGGCGAATGCCTGTAATCACAGCACTAGGGGAGGCAGAGGCAGGTGGATCTCTGTGAGTCTGAAGACAGCCTGGTCTAGAAAGTGAATCCAGGACAGCCAAGGGCACACAGGAAAACCCTGTTCAAAAAAAAAAAAATTATAACCAGGCTGGGTGTGATGGTGTACCACTGCAGGAGCGACTTCTGGAAAGAGGAACTTTACTAGAGCCTAGAAGTTCAAGGTCAGTCTTGAGAAAAGAGCAAAGCTTTCTCTGAAACGAACAGTAACAACAACCATTTGAGAAGCCTGAGCGCCCACATGCAAGCTAACAGTTTTCAATCTAGACTAACAGCCACGGAACCTTGCAGAATACCAAGGAGAAAGTGAACTTCAAATTATGACAGAAACTGAGGAAACACTTGTTGCTCTACAGAAGACAGTCAATGAAATCCATTTGGCTAGAGGGAGGTATGCCCACATTTAATATAGAATAGATATGGTAAAATTAAAATGCACTAAAGTTTTTGGAGATATTTTAAGTATCTAGCCACAAATCTGACTTTAAGATTCTTACAAACATTCACATTAACAGACCAATCATCCAGCTGGTCTTGGTGGTGTACACATGTAATTCTAGCTCTCAGGGAGGCAGAGGCAGGTGAATCTCTGAGAGTTTGAGGCCAGGCCAGCCTAGTCTACAAAACCAGTCCAGAACAGCGAAGGCTAAGAGAGAGACCCTGTCTCAAGTGCCCCCAAAAAAAACAACAACAAAAACTTGCATGTAACAGGGAGTCTGCTAGCTCTGTAAACATTACTAACAAGCAGGCCTCAGTCTGTTGGCCAAGGTGAACTAGCATTTTTCAAAAGGATCACCTTCAGACTTGCTTTCCTTAGCCCTGAAGATCGGACAGTGGCGGCATATGCCAGCAGCAGCACTTGAATCTATGAGCTCAAAGCCAGCCTGGTCCTCAGAGTGAATTCTAGAACAGCCAGGGCTACACAGAGAAACCCTGTCCTTATCTCAAAAGATCAAAAACAGAAAACAAACAAGATTTGGCTGCCCACCCACCTCTGCCCTCCCCACAGAAGAAAGGTTTAAGCAAAAAAGCCAAGTCTCACGAGGGCAACCGACTACTTGTCTTACATGATTGCAAAAGGTTCATTTTTAACCTGACTGCGTTCTCCCAAACGCCACTTATGTAGCTGATGTCACTGCTCTTGCCCTAAAAACATCCTGCTTTGAGAACTCTTGAATTCTATACTTAAGTCTGTTCACAACTGCTTTTTAGTGGAATTTCAGAAGTATGAACCACACACAGCTTGTTACAACATATTTATTGTAGATTGTGTTACACATGTCTAGAACAGGAATTTACAAACGTCATGGAACACAGATTTGTTCTGGGTTATTCATTTTGTCCTAAAGAGCCATTTGACCAGCAGGGTTTTTACAGAGAACACGGGCAATGTCTTCAGAATTTACTCCCTGGTCACAACTATTTTTTAAGGTTATCTCCCCCACCTACCCATCCACCCACCCACCCATCAAAGTCTCTTAATTAAGAAGTTTATGAAACTAGTACTCTGAAAGTGCCAAAATATTAAATAATAATAATAATAATAATAATAATAATAATAACAACAACAACAACAACAACATGGCTATCAGCAATCACCAAAAACAATACCTAGGCAACCAGAAGCAAAGGTCATAGCACAGTAACTGGTCATTCAAAAGGAAAGCAGGATTCTCCTTCAAGAAAAAATGGATAACAATATCTATGAGCCAGGAACTGTGCAAGGACCTAAAGAAAATCCCAGCAGAGAAAAAGTGATGAGTAGCAAGGGCATTAGGGCAGAAGCAGTAGACAATCTACAAGCAGAACAGAGAGCAAGACTAAAGAGCTCTCATATCAGAAGCCAAACAAAAGTTGAGTCCCTTGCTGGGTGCAGGGACCCACAACTGTAATCCCAGTACTCAGAAGGCAGAGGCAGAGTAGGCTGACAGCCAGCCTGGACTATGCAGTGAGACCCTGTCTCAAGAAACCAACCCAAGGGCTCAGTGGTTGAGGGGGCTGGTGGCTCTTTCAGGGGACGAGGGTTCGGGTCCCAGCACCCATGTAGAAGCTCACGCCTGCCTGTGGCTCTGGTTCTGCAGGATTCAATATCTTCACACAGACATGTATGCAGATGGAATACCAACACACATCGAATAAAAATAAACACTGGGGAATTTTTTAAAAAAAGAAAGAATGAAACCAACTCAAAACAAAACTAGGTAACCTCCATTAGGTTTTTAACATAGTTCAGGCAAGACAGGCGCAGCCAGGGTGAACTTGAAGCAATGAGACACAGCATGACTTCTTGCACAAATTAAGCAACCCTTAGTTCCCGGGCATTTTAGATGCTTGTCTAAGCGGGGAAGGGCTGCTTGCCCTTCCAGGGGTAAATTCCTGAAATAAAACAACTTAAAAAAAAATAAAAAGTCTGTTCATGTAAAAGGCATTACCAAGTATTTTCCATTTCCATGGAGAGTTTCAGTATAATCTCTGCCATTCTGGTTCTCCACCCATTATGGGAGCGTAACCAAGGCTAAATTTAAACACATATTGTTTTCCATCTTTACCCAGTATACACATCAAAGAAGAAAAAATGGCATCTCTGTTGTTTTAACTCAGGCAAGCAAGTACTGGAAACTCAAAATGCTGTTGTTTCCGGAGTTTTAAAAATAAAATTGGGGTAGTCTCATGTAGCTGATAAACTATCTAGGACTGACACAAGACCACTGAATACAAGTGATCTGAAACTACACTCAATTTATTTGGCCTTGGGTAAAAACCGGATACACAATCACACTGTTAAAAAGTTAAATGAAAACTATATACTTCCCTTCCTGCAGAATCCCAACCGAGGAAAATGGTGTTTCAGAGAGGAAGTAAAGGTACAACTCCAGGATGTAGAATTAGAACTCTGAATCCCAAGACTGCATAAGAAGACATCCGTAATGGCTCTGTAGTTTTAATCACCTCCTTATTGCTGTAGTTCATTTTTAAAAGTAGGTAAGAGCTATGATACAACTACACTCGGACAATTTTGGAAGTATATACGCCTAGTCCATATCCAGTCTAAGAATTTAATGAGGCCAATCTTGGATTAACTTTTGAGCACCATGAATGTAGTACCTATTACAATCCAAACAGAGGCATCAGAATGATGAAAACCACCACCTCTCAGGTTTGGGGTGGAGGGGGCAGGCACAGAGCCTTCCTGTCCCCTAGGCTGTCACAAACCCCTGGGCTCAGGCATTTCTCCTACTGAAGCGCTAAAAGTCTCTGGGACTACAGGTATATGCTACTTATGTCTGACTCACTACTCAAATTTGACAAGTCATAACAATTTGATCTGACAGCTGCTGATATCTACAATAATCCAATATAAACCAACTACAACTAGGCATTTAACTCTACACTTCAGCATGTTTATTATATCTTGGCATTACTACTAAGGAAGTAAGGGATGGAATGGA